AAACAACAATACTTTTGCCTCTCCAAAATTATTGCCTGTCATCATCCATCATCAAATATCTTGCATTTTATTTCAACTTTGGAGCTAAGCGAGAATTTCTTGTATGAATGGAATGCTCGGTAGCGGAGACGGGGCGATGGTAAGCAATGAAATAAACGCATATGATGAGAAATGGCTAGCCTCGTCCAAGTGCTTTCGCCAACAACTGAAATATGTGCATATCGCGTGCACAGACTTGTGTGATTCCTGCTAGGATGGAGTAAGGAGGGGCGCGGACGACAGAGATCACAGAAAAAACGTGCTTGTCAAAAATCCCACGGGGAAATGGTAGTTACAAATTGTTTTGCACACCTTGTGTTTTTTGCAACGAGACAGCACTGGTAATTGCACCGGTGCAAACAAGCCCCGTTAAGCGTGGCTATCTAATCCAATGTGGACTGTGTGGTAGGTGGTATCGTTAAACTTTGAGAGTGCATTTCCTTCGTCCGTAGAGAGTTATTTAATCCAAAAACGTCCGTCTCTAGGCAAAAACACAGAAGTGTCAGTGAACAGAGGTGTTTAAGGATGTTGGAATTCACGGATCACAACTGATCGTGTTTACTTTTAAGCAACACAATCTATCACAGATTTTGGATAGACTGATCACCCACATACACACACCCACACACACCCGAGCCCAGTCTTTATTAGGGGCAAAGGAGGACAGTTCAGAGAACCGTTATGGTACAAACGGCACGGACTCTACAGTACTGGCCGAGTGTGATGCACTAAAATATTTTCTATGTGATCAAATGGAGTTTCATTATATTTATCATCTGTATTAATGCTTTAGGTATGGACAATAATTTATATCTCATCTACTTCAATCTACGTAGTTTCTACGCTGCATGAGTGTCAATTAAACGTGCCTGAACTTGACTGCCAAGATTAAATGATTTCAACATGAAAACCACAAACTTTATCAAGCATCACAACGCAATATTTTCTAATAGGAATGACTCAAGAATTATCTCAAATTATTTCCACAAACCCTTGTCATCTCCGTTATTTGTTCTGATGTATTATATTGTCTAATATATAATCCATTATAGCAACTCTATTGGATAACTAAATAAAATTCTATCACAACCCACAGAAATTACA